CCGGGTGTTCTGGGGCGCCTGCTCCCACCCTCCGGCCGGCCTCCGCCCGCCGCAGGGGCCTCCTGCTCCCCGCGAGACCTGTGTTTGCGTCTCAGACCCCTCCCTGAGCTCGGACCTGGCCTCGTCGGGCTTCTGCCTCCAAACAGCCACTCGTACTATGATGTCCAGCTTGTTGTCAAAGCCCCTGCCCGGCAGCTTGCGGCCGCACTGAGGACGCCATGTTCCTGGGAGTCCCTTTCTGCGCTTCCGCCGTACGGCCTCTGTCATTGGCCAGGGCGGCCTCGCTGTTGTCGCAGCTGTACGCCGATTGGTGCTCGTGAAGGCGAAACAGAACGCCCGCCTCCTGGCGCGCGCGATTGGCCTGACCTCAGTGACGTGAGGACTTTACTGGCGTCTCGGGCTCGCTCTCGAGCCCTGGCGTATCTCGGCGAGGTGGGGGCGGGGCTTCGGGCTGGGCTTTGTTCTTTCCTCCGCGCTCCGAGACCATCCGAGCCCCAAGGGAACCTTCCTCCACTTCAATTCCAGGCTGCCCGAGAAGCTTCTGCAGCAACCAGAGGCTTCCGCGGTATTAGGTGGAAGCTGCGCCCAGTGGGGTTCGGATCTCAGCCCAGGGCTTATCTCCTGTTTCTCTCCTTCCTGGTAGGGGCCCGGGAAATCACTCACACGTGCACAAGGAATTAAGATTTGTCAAACCCTCTTACTTCCTTCATCCCATCAAATCTTCAGCTCCTTTCACGGATGACGAAACAACCTAGGTAAGGTGAAAAATCTCACCCGAGGCCACAGTTAGCAGTGGAGCAAAACCAAAGCTGATGTTACCTGAAAGCCTCTGAACACCTTATATGTAAAATCCCCATTTGTCCTCTGTAATATGCTTTTCTTTTCTTTATAGCACTTTTGAGTGCTACTTGATATCGTATTTTATTGATGTGCTCTCCTCTCTGCAAGACCAGGGATTTTTTCTTTCTTTCTTTGCTTTCTGTTGTATCTTTAGCACTTAAAACAGTAACTGAGCCAGGCACAATGGCTCAAGTCTGTAATTCCAGCACTTTGGGAGGCTGAGGCCAGAGGATTGCCCGAGCCCACGGGTTTGAGACCAGCCTGGGCAACATGGTAAGACTTTGTCTCTACAATTCATCAAAAAATTAGCTGGGCATGGTTGCGCATGCCTGTAGTTGCCCAGCTACTTGGAAGGATAGTCTGAGCCTAGCAGGTCGAGGCTGCGGTGGCCGTGTGCGTGCCACTACACTCCAGCCTGGGCAACAGAATGAGACTTCAACTCAAAAAACAAAAAAAACAAAAACAAACCCCAAACAGTAATTGCCATTTAGAATGCACAAACGAATGAGTGACTAGCGTGAGCTCTGAGCAGCTCTCTGACTGGAAGCACGCCATGAGATGTCTATGGACGAGAATTCTGGATAGAAAAAACAGCAAAGGCTTAAAGCGGTGGCTCAGCCTGTAATCCCAGCACTTTGGGAGGCCGAGGCGAGTGGATCGCCTGAACCTATGGGTTCAAGATCAGCCTGGGCAACTTGGCGACACCTTCTCTCTGCAATAAATAAATAAATAAAAAATTAGCTGAGCGTGGTAGCGCGTGCCTGTAGTTCCAGCTACTTGGAAGGCTGAGGTGGAAGGGTTGCCGGAGCCCGGCAGGTCGAGGCTGGATTGGCTGTGAGTGTGCGTGCCACTGCACTCCAGCCTGGGCAATAGAGTGAGACTCCAAGTCAAAAAAAAAAAAAAAAAGGAAGTGGACAACAAACAATGAGGAAGGCAATGTGACTAGAGCAAAGGGTACAAGATGGGGTGGGGGAGGAAGAATGCAGATTACCTAGAACCTTGAACCCACAGGTGAGATTTTGGACTTTATTCAGAGACCCATGGGAAACTCCGGGAGGGTTTTGAGTAAAGGAGTGATATGAGGCGACTCCATTCTTAAAGGCTTATCTTGTGCAGCAAATGTCTGCTGAGTGAATACATGAACGAAAAGAAACCCGCAGGCTGGGTCCCTAAACCATGGGAATGGAGATCTCTTTCCCTCAGTGAAGAGATCATTTCTTTGGATGAGAAGGGGCCTGAGGTCTAGGGGCTGGAGCTGGCTGGGGTCTTAGCAGGCCGCACAGGCTGGGCGGGGCACCGCCTCTTGCTTAGGTTGGTGAGGATCTGATCCTGGTTGGGCCGGTAGAGAACCACGAAGCTCTCTGGAGGAAGAATGGGGCTTCCGTTCGGGTCAACCTGGCCCATCATCAGATAACTGGCTCCTGGGGGAGGGAGAAAGGGAGGGATTAAGAGGTCATATTATTGAGACCTGTCGACGCATCTCCTTAACTATCAGTGCGGCTAAGTCCACCCCTCCCCAGTCCCCCACATCTCTGTTACCTTTCTTCATGGAGTGGCACTGCTTGCAAGGCACATAAAACTTCAGTGAGGCAGAAGACAGGTCCAGCCCTCCAGTTTTGTAAGAACTGATGAGACTGCCAGTGACGGTGAGGCCCTCCCCTGGGCCTTTAACTATGGACTTCACCGTTGCAGTCACCACTGTGGGAGAATGGGAGTGAGAGACAGGAGGCAGGAGGCCAGGGCAGGGCTGGAACCAGACTGAGGGATGGTGAGAGTAGCTGAAATATGCGGGGGT